TCAGCTAAAAATAGCTGGACAGAGTGGACGCAGATGAGACCGGAAGCCAGAACCATAGAATTTACAAATGGCCGCGCCCATTTTTACGACAAGAAAAAGGTGGATAGCCTAATAGAATTCTTCAAACACAAAATGACTCTCACTGAATTCAAAAGATTCCACTTGAAAACGACAGTGAACGAATCTTTGTGGTGAACTGATTCAAAATATTCGAGTCACTGGAATGAATCAAAATCCCCACCACGAGCAGGCAGTAAAATGCGGGTGGAGCGAGCGCACCACGAGTCTCCGGAGCAGGGCTTTAATCCAATCAGCGCGAGGGGGATGTTTTATAGCTGCTGTGTGCGCTTCACTTTTACTCACTGCAAAGGCGACTGATCAACTGAACTATCAACAAGTAAGGTAAGTCATTATGAAGCATTCAGTTTATATCAAAAGGCTAACTTTCTAGTCTTTTTTTTTTTTATTTGAAACCACTGAAAAGGGTAAATGCAATAAGTTCGTAAATGTAATTAGTTCTGGGAAGTGCTGGGGATTTGTCTTGACTTTATGTGGTCATGTAATGCTTTTTGTCATAATGCTGCATTATTTTAATTTGATTATTTTTAGGTCTTATGTAGTTCTCCAGACGGCGACCCTTTGTTTCACTTCAGCGTTTCTTTTCTCGTATTCAGTCATTTTTTTAAGCAGGGCATTTACCAAGACTAGCCTCGTACAGTGTACAGTAGGCTATAGTAGTCTTGTTTTTGCCACGTACATTTTCAGTAGCCTATAGTGATTACCAGTAGCACAGCTGTCGTCTTTACCAATAACAGTGAGAGAAGAGAGAGAGCTTGAGATGAAATATGATATCCAGCCTTGTCTTTTTTGTTTCTTTTTAATAGTTCGCTCAAATAGTGTCAAAGATTCATGTAGCCCTAAGTCTAAACCGTAAACAGTCGGCATAATTCTAGCTGTTTTTATATTCCGTTTTACAGCTACAAATTATAACATTGCTCATTTTCATGTTCCTTTAGAAGATATTGATCTAATTTTTCTTGGTTAAAGTGCCTTACCTCAGAAAAAAACACCTCCTATCAGAAACATGAATGTCTAGTGCACTCTTCCTTCTGATAATAATTTAGTTGAAGCAATATGAATATTCACAATTGATTAAAGTTAAACGTTTTCAAGCTAAATTGTCTGTTGTTGACACATATTTGGCTTTTAAGTTCATGTAAGTTTAAAAAAGGAGACACATGGCATGTTTGTATTCAAGTATATTATAAACTCCTACATCTCATTCGATGATGCTAAAATAAAGCAGGTTTTGTTTCAATTATAAAAATATTGATGTTTTTAATGCTAAAGAAAACCTGCCAGGTATTAATTACCAACGTTCTAACATTTTTAAATTTTGGTTACATTATTTTTCAGTTGTATGTGTGGTTTCTATTGGATATTTTTAAAAAAGGTCTTCTGTGACATTATCTAACTGCAACCAAAATGCAACGTGCTGTGCTTGCTGGAGCTGAACTGTCACAATCTCACTGTCTTTCGCAACACACCTTGATAGATGAACCATGTACTTGCATCCTATTGGATTCTAAACTTGGCATGTGGTTTTTAGCATCCATCACAATAATCAGCTTCTGTTACTGAGCTGCTGCTGAACCAGCAATCTATCCTGAGCTGTGTTGCTTATTGCTCACTGTATATTGCCAGTGAATTAATCTTTTATTTCGACATTTTCAAGATGATGCATTTCACATGTCTTGAGTGCTGCCTGTGACAAAGTTTCACTGTAAAGAATGGAAGTCGCGTCACTGCAGCATATGTTCGGCATATTAATATTATCTACCTGCCTTATGGCCACTTGTAAAATGAGTTGATGTCTCAGCAGAGGGGGTTTTGACAAAGTACAAGCTATCTGTGTAGACTGGTTCCTCAAAGGGCAGTCGTCATCTGATTGATCGGCACAATGTAAGGAGTTCACTGTCATGATCTGTTCTCGATTGAAGTGTTCCTCTCCCTTCTTGTAAGTTTAGAAACCTGAAATGAAAATCTTGACGTTTTCCACACCCTCATGTTGTTCTGACAAAGTTTTATTTTCATTCTTCATGACACAAAAAACACAGAATCTAAGCTGCTCTGAGCGTTGTCTGAATAATCGACTATAATTTAATCATATTTTTCAGAAGACTTGAAATATAGTTGTCATACTGACAACTTTTACGATACCTCTGAAGCTTTTTTGTCCTTTTTTGAGTTTGTCAGTATTTCCTTGTGTGAAAAGAACAACTGGGATATTCTGCCTATTGCCTCTTTTGTATTTCACTGATGGGGAAAATTCAGCTTCATTTTTTTGTTCTATCATTAGAGTTTCTAATAGCCATTAATGAGCATTGTGTTGCTATGGAGCAAATGAGAAATTGATTTGTTTTGTTTTAATAAATCAGTCCTTTCTCATATAATGAGATTATATGCAGCATAACAAATGTATTAGTCTGAAAGATTATGAGACTTAAATAATATTGTTTTGTCATGGTTGGAGCCATTTCAGGTTTAGAGCACTATGTGATATGATGTTACTTTGCCTGTTACAAAGGATATCTTAAAGTAGTTCACCAAAAATGAAAATTCTGTCACCATTTACTCACCCCCATGTTGTTCTTGCCATTTTGATGAATGTTGGAAACCAGATAGTTATGGTTACCACTGACTTCAATTGTATGGAGAAAAAAAATACCTTTTCATGTTCCGCAGAAGAAAGAAACTCGTACAGATTCAGAATGACAAAAGGTTGAGAAAATGATGATAGAAAGTTAATTTTTGCGTGAACCATGCCTTTAAAGCCATCTTTAATTCATATTTAAGTTGATCAAATATTAATTAATGTTACTTCACGTTAACGCCTGTTTGTATGGGTGATTCTTCTGTTCTCCTTTCATTCTTGCAGTTTCCAGACTTGGCAGGAGGGATGTTAAGTGAATGGAGCCCTCTTCACATCCTCCTTCTGTTTTTGGCTTCTAATTAAAACTTGGCTGTAGAACATTTCCCTCTCAAATGTTTAATTGCCTTTCAGATGTTGATGGACTCGTTTGGATTCTCTCTAGACACTTTCAATGACTTCAAACACCTGAAAATTATAAATCACTACTCCACATGTGCTTACAGGGCGTTAATAAGGAAAAACTCCCACTGTTGGAATGACACCGTGACCTGTAATGTTTATTCATTAATTTTTCATTATGACTTGGATTAACAATGACTGCCCTTGAACTGTAGAGCATTCAGAAAGTAAAAAGCTGGACATGACTTTCCCTGGAGGGGCTCATGTGTCAAGGAAAGTCTTCATCCATCATGGCTGTCCCCTTATCTTGAGATTCATTTTAGCTGTGATTTGTTTGAGTGCAATGGGTCTTGCGTGTCCCAAGAGTTGCCACTGCTCCGAGAGGAATGGCTTAACCATAGTGCAGTGTTCCTCTCGCAACCTAGAAGAGATTCCCTCCAACCTTCCTCACGATACGGTGTCGCTTCTTCTATCCTCCAATCACATCACCAAAATCCCAAACCAGGCTTTTAAAAACCTTCCTTGGCTCCAAGAGCTGGACTTGTCACGGAATGCCATCGAAACCGTGGATGCTGGTGCTTTTCAAGGTGTCACGGAGAGCTTGCGGGCGCTCGACCTGTCCCATAATCGCATGCAAAGCGTCCCTAAGGAGGCCTTCGCTCGGCTGCATGCCAAGATCAGCCTGTCCAACAACCCGTGGCACTGTGAGTGCACCCTTCAGGAGGTGTTGCGTGAACTCAGGCTGGATCCCGAGACTGTGAACGAGGTGAGCTGCCACACCTCTGTTCAGGAAGAGTACGCGGGCAAGCCTGTCATTCAAGTCTTGGATTCGGGCATAAACTTTTGTAACTTCCACCATAAAACTACTGATGTGGCCATGTTTGTCACCATGTTTGGTTGGTTCACGATGGTTATCGCTTATGTCATCTATTATGTACGACATAACCAGGAAGATGCCAGGAGGCATCTGGAGTACCTCAAGTCTCTGCCAAGTAGCTCCCAAATTAGTAAGGACTTTGACACAATCAGCACTGTTCTGTAGCATCAATCAGTGCAGTGTAGGAGTGAATGTGTTTGGCACATTGATGATTGCACAACAGCAAGCCTTATAAGGGAGAGTGGGGTAAGATGTGTCATTTACTCATTTGTCCTCAAGGAAAGGAGAAATGAGGAGTCATTGAGAAACCCACATTTGCTAGGCACAAATCAAATCCAAACTATTATTTTGCTGCACATTATTGACATTTTCATTGGAAAATATTTAGTTTTCTGAAAATTTTAATTTAAGTATTTTATTATAATAGTATTTTGCAAAAAAATGCAAAGCTTACCAAATGCCAAACATGCATGAGATGTAACTTTTATTTATTTATTTATTTGCTTTGATATTAAATTCATTTTATCTGCTGCAGAAAATTTACTTTGACATGCAAACCCACACTTTAGTATTAAAAAGCAACTCTTATACAATATGCAGCTGCCTGAGAGAGAGCGAGAGAGAGTCCTTCAATTCAATCGATTATAAGAATGACAGATTAGCCACTGACACGTCTTGCCCTACTCTTCCCAAGATATAGTATTATTAGATTTAATTGTGAATGTTTTTCATGGGTTTTCACAAAATGAATGTGTTGACAATTGTTCTGTGATGCAATTCAGTGTTCCCATTCATGTACCCTCAGTCGACCTACATAAGTCCTGCAGTCTCTGTGGTGGCCGCTTTGTGCCTCACGACAGGAAGCTGCAGAAGCTCCATTTCTTTCTGCAGGTGCTTATCCCATTATTTCTTGAATTGGTTTTATTAATTTGTATGCTAATTTAATGGTGTTTCAGAACAGAATATTAAATGCTGGATTTATGGGATATTTTTGTTCTTCTTTTACAGTGCTGTCCAAGTAGAGCAAGTACATAATCACTGCCAAAAAA